AACATCGGTAGTCTTGAAGTGGACTAAGGTAAACGGGTTGCTGAAGGAATCCTGCTGCTCCTTTTGTGATCTGGTATTAGCAGAAGGGTACTTGGATCTTGAGTGACATTACAAGAGAATAGAGTGGTGCTAGAATAGACTGTATGTTTTCTTTGTTGAGTATGTGGGCCAGATTGTGTTGGGGGTGGAGAGGGGTGAGAGTATGAAATGGTAGCTAGGTGGCGAGGTGGGAAGACATGTTAATCCGGGGTGGCACTAGTTGCTACGAGAGCCCATGAGCCTACCTAGGTAGTGATTTTTGGATTTATATTTGAGAGGAGTGGTTACGAGGTGAAGTAATCCACAGTAGTGTATTTTAGATAGTTTGTTTTTTATGGGACGTGGGGGAGACTGGTCGTATGTCAGTGTTGGCCGTACTAGTATAAATAAAATTAGATTGAATTCTAAGTACTTTTCCTACTTATTACTTTAACAAATATAAAACACCTTTACGATCTTTATCTCTATTGCAATATTTATCGTTTTGCAGAGGAAAGCTCTTCACGGAGAAGAGTTAGAGAAAGCTTACGATAGGCGTTCCTAATAGAAGACAGAGGTCTTGTACTATTGGTAACGTTGGCAAAGGCCCAGTGCTATCGCAAAATAAAGAAAGAAGAAGAAAGAGGAGAAAAGTATCATTTCCCGTCGCCACAAACTAACTATCTGAAGAGGGATTATTACACTCTTGCACCAACAATATCCAGGCAAGTCTGGCCTGAGTAACAATCAGGGTCAACTCCAAAGGCAATGCGAGTGCAGATATGCCTCCTACTAATAACACCAACAAGTCCTGAATATTTATTCATGGGGCCAACACATGAAAAAATCAAGAAATGGAAGCAGGAAACAAGAAAGAATACAGAGCATAATGTTCTGAGCTGGACTGTGTACTACAATAATAATTATAGCACACACTAAGGAGACAAGTAGGGATTGAGGTAGTTCCTGCAACAGTATAAAAGGGTTGGTACACGCCAAAACTACAGCTTGAAGGTATCAAAGAAGAGCTTCAAGGATACATATATGATGCACTGGGCAGTGAATGTGGCTGCAGGCTTCTATCTGAGGAAGGACACTAGCCAGAAAGAATAGACAAAGAAAGATGCCTACAAAAAATGAAGGGCTATGAGGACGTGGCTCTGGGAGGAAGAGGCTGAAAACTCCTCCAAGGAAATAGAACCCAAGATTGAAAGTCTGTATTAGCAGATTGCAGAACTATGAAAATAACTTGGCAATACCGAAGCTACAATTGTGGCATACAAAAGAATGCCCATGGAGTTAAAATCAATGATTGACACTCAATGCCAAACAATTGAGATTGTAAACCTCACCTTGGAGATGGTGAGAATGTGAGCATACCAGGTAGAAGCGAAATTCTACCGGCTTCAGAGGTCTATATATACAGCTGGACAAGAGATGCTAAAGCTAGGAGAAAGAGCTTGGTGGGATACAGACTTGAGGAGGGAGGAGCTAATATCACGGATGTGACAGCATTTCACATTTGACTCGATTATGATCACGGGTCTCATACATATGACTCACTCAAGTCATATAACTTGTTTATGTTAAGATTTATGATGTTTTACACAAGACTCGATTATGAGTCATGGGTCTTATGCATATAACTCATTTGAGTTATATGACTTATTATAAGGATTTCACATGACTTATAGTTATGAGTTATTAGGGTTAGGGTTTGCAAGGAGAGTACTATATAAGGAGAACAGTATGGCTTAGAAGGATATGCTCTTTACACTTTGTTCTAAGTAATTTCCTTACTTATTACTTTATATGAATAAAACATCTTCATAGTCTTTATTGTTTATATTTCTCAAGAGTCTAAGAGTAATATCTGTATATGTTCATAATGTTAGGCATTACCTAATCAAGTATTGGTAACGTAAACTAAAGAGCCTAAGAACTATTAAAAAGGAGATAGATATAAGGAAGGTATTGTCGCCTGTCACTATATGCTAATAATGACTTAGGAATGTTACAAACATGGTTTTACATGATAAGAGTTTTTGACCAATCAGGAGCACTTATCACTGCCACAGTTATCTCACCAGAGGGCCTTTAGGTTGAGGTGAAAAATCAGAAAATATATTGTCCTAAAGATGTGGGTATTAATAAATTTTTCATATTTTGGAAATATTTTTATTATTCTATAATAAAATCCTATTAATAAGATCAATAAAGAGAGAATAATGTATATCTACTATCGTAGTTTTGCTTAATCCATATTGATATATAGGTCTATTTTACTAGAAACTAAGCAACAGCTATTTTAGTTGTTTTGAGTAAGTAGTACTTTTAGTTTACATGACAATCACTACTATGTTAAGAAGAAAAGCTAAAATATATTTCAGATCATATGAGTACTATTATGCAGATAATGTTCCAATCCCAAAATGCAACAAATTTTCCTTAATCTATATAAAATTGGTTTAGATTGTTAAATATTCTGTCCTAGTTCGAGAAAATATTTATCTTAAAAATTGGGTACAGAATAGGCTTTTGAAGTAAATAATTCAAAATATCAGTTTTTCCTTTTATTGTATAAATGGATAGAGCTAGAAATCTATTGGAAAAATATTTTAGCATAGTATTTTGAGAGGAGGACTAATTGTTATTGCAAATTTTATAATTTGATATGATATTTAAGAAATGCAATAACTATAATAAAACTGTAGTAATAATAATAATATTTAATTGTAATATTTAACATTTTCTAATTTCTTTACTATTAGTCTTTGTAGTAATAAATTCTATATCTTTCTATCATATATTAAGACCAGTTGGATCACTAGTTGGAGTACTATTATAAAATTTACTTGTAAAATTCCTTTTTTTTCCTATTTTCTCTAACTTTACTTACATGATTTTTTTCCCATAATGATACTCATATTATATCAAATTTAATGTATATTACTTCATAAACTCTATGATAATAACAAATTAGCCTCTTGAAAATATTTGAAAAGTACTTATCAAGGCCAGTAAGCTTTTTTTCTAAAGAAAAGTTTTTTTTACTAAAAGATCTTATCTGATACAAATATCTCCAGTACTATAATTCCGCACAAGTGGTAATGAGACAGATGGCTTAACATATGATGAAAATATCATGAAACCAAAAAAGTAATACAAGTTCCAAAGTAACAATCACAGTAAAAAATATGAAATGTAAGAGAAAGAAACTCATTCATTCCAAGTCTCATTTACCACTTAGTATGACCACCATGTCTCCTTATGAGAGTCACAATCCTTCTTGGCATACCATTGATGAAACGATAGACCCTTCTCTATAGCATTTCCTCCCAAACCTCCTGTGCCAGCTCAATAATATCAATTCTGTTATAAGGATGGTGCCTTGCTATCTTACGTGCTTTCCTAAACCTCCTCTCAAAGAAAGACCAAACATTTTCAATAGTGCTCATGTCTGTGGACCAAGAAGCCCAAGGCATGCGAGCCACTCCCTGCAATATCCTGTATCTCCCAGAATAGTGGGCATTATGTACACAAGAATTGTCCTCAACTATTTCAATCTCATTTTCTGCTTCATCTAATAGTTCATACAAAAGGAGATAGTAGGGAGTATATATCTCCTGACAATATTGAACTGAATTCATGCTGAGCCAGTCCTTACTATCCCCTTTCTCACTCACTGTTCTTTAGCGGATAGGAATCAGTGGAGTGTAGAAACCATAGGTAAAACCAGCAGCAAACATAATTGTAGTCTTATCATCGGGAAAGGAAAGTTTCACATAACAATCTTCCAGAGCTGTTTCAGGAGGACGGTGAACGAGGAATATGCTTCCTCCTTGTCCAATCATAAGATTCATCTTATCCACTTATATCTTTTTCCTCTAAACAAATTTATTCCACATTTACCTTTCTCAGGTCCATCGTAATCGCTGCCACTTCTGTTCATGGTTGAGGAAAGATCTTTTGCAGGCAATATGAATAGAGGTTCATATCTCGAAGATTCTTACCCACTGTCCTTTCTGACACTGGAAGGTTCAGATCAGCAGTAATGTTGTGGAGTGGAGCATGAGGATTTTGCTCATTAATTCGATGCAATCTCCTTCTGGCCCGCTCATCTAATTTCAGCTGGGGTCCAGGACGGAGTGGGGGGTTTATTGTCTTTGATATCTTCTAGCTCTTGACAATCCATTGAGCCTCAGATTTTGAAACCGCGATTTATTGCGCAATTACTGTAATCCGTTTTTCCGTTTCCGTGGCTTGCTGTCGTTTTCCTGTGTTCTGATCGGTTGGCATATTGTGCAAATTCACAACAGTCACGTTGTAGTTGCAAAGTGGGCGGTGCTTAGCGCATGTCCCGTTACCACCTGCGCAGGGTTGTACTCCAATTTTTAAATTTAAATATATTCCGAGAAAGTTAGAGGCAAATCTTCTAGGTACTAAAGGCTTAGAATGATTTGGCTCATTTTGTGGCAACTGGGAAGTTTCACTTTTTTCGCAGAAATGCACCCATATACATAAAGAGGAAAAAATACTGACAAGTAGAGGGATGTTTTTTACGGCAAACATCTCATGGACTGAGATCTGGAAGAATGGTTAGAGGAAATGTTTAACTCATAGAGACAACAAAGAAGCCACTTGCGACGGCAAGAAATCGTACTCGTACTGGTGCTGGGAACCTTGTTTTGGTCACGCTCAGTCACGAACGGCTCAAGAGAGTCAATTTTGTACCTGTTCGACGCGTCCACCATGTACAATTTAGTCACGCCCAGACACAGGGGGATCAACCAGAGTAGCTAACTGCGGTACCTTTCCGCAGCCAGATTATGGGAGTCACTTTCCTTTCCGCTAGCATACCCTTGCTAGCGGGCCACCTACCAATTCCTTTTTCCACTTCTTCACCCTCTTCATTCTTTTCCCTCTTCCCTACTCCCTGACTTTATCAGCCGGATTGTTTGCGGTTTTTGCATGCTCCCACAATGAGTGAAGGTCGTGAAGACAACAGTCCTGTCATGGAAACCCCTGCTAATGGAGAAGTGAATGAGGTGGGTGAGGCAGTGAGCGAGGTTGGAGAGGAGAAATCTTTTCGGCCTGCTGCTGCTTCTTCCATCCTTGCCAGTACTACTCCTGCTCTTGCGGATTTTCCCCGACGCACATTGTCTTCGAGGCTACCAAGGCCCCGGAAAGTGTCACCCATTACCCCACATCCAATCACCATTGGTTCCTTAGGACCCTCTGTTTCTGGGGAAATCTTGCCATCAGCAAGAATCCCCAAGGCCCTTTCTCCCAGGGGGCCCCCCACTGTTCCCAAAAGAGCCCAGGCAGCTGGTGTTGCAGGTGCGTTGTCCCAATCATCAGGAGAATCCAACTCTATCTAATGTTGTTTTTGCATCATAGTCGGCCCAATAGACCCGCCTGATTCTCCCGTCATTAGAACTCCGAGGAGACCTAATTTTGGAACGTCTGATCATGCCTCACCTACAACAGCATCTCTTGCGAAAAGGGCTTCGGTACCCTCTCTGAATAAAAAGCCATCAGCCCCGTCACTATCAAGAAAAGCTTCCTCGTCCCAGCTGCAAAACTCTACTGTTTTGACGCCTCCTGGAAGGAGAATATCGGATATCAATGGAAATGTAGCGCCGCGGTTGGCTAAGAAGCCCTCGGATTCCCAATTCACTATATCAAAACGACCTTCTAATTCGCAGTTATCTAAAAAGCCATCAGCAACTCCGCTGAACAGCCCAACGGCTGTTGCCTCGCCAAGCCCTACGCCGTTCCGACGTGCGACATCGACACATCTGCCATCTCAGCAACCCCCTTCGGCAGCTAAAATTCCCAACCGTCCGTCGTTGACTCAACTCCGTCAGGCTTCGGCTGGGAGTAACGGAGCCTCCGCTCCACGGCCACAGAAGAACCAAAAGCCAGCCGCACTAAATGCACCTAGCTCGGAATCCCTTCCTCCGAAGAAAGCCCCTAGAGCAGCATCCCAATCTCTCCGGGATACAATTGCTAAAGCTCGGGCTGCTCATCGTGCGATGCCAACCGCAGCAAATCTTCCATCCTCTCTCGTCGGTGCTGTGACAACTGAAGCTGCCAATAACGACTTAAACGGGTTCAATTTTTCAAGCGAAGATCCCTTCAGCCGGACAATATTTGGTGAGGGTGGGTCTACTAAGGTCCTAAAACAACGGATAAAGACAGCTAGGGTTGAAGGCCGTCTCAATATTTCAAATCTTCAACTGGGCGAGATCCCGAGTGATGTCTATAAAATGTATGAGACTACGGAGGAGGATTTGGCGTCCAATGAAACCAACGATGGCCCAAAGTGGTACGAAAGCGTGGATTTAGTCCGATTTGTGGGTGCGGACAACGAGGTTGAGGCAATAAGTGAGGATTTGGTGAAGCAATTTGGAGGATTAGCTAGTATTGATGTACGTGGAAAACGCCCGCCTACAGGCACTTCCTTTTAGTCCTGCTCGACTTTTCCGTGGTATAAGGAATGCAAAGGCTAATTATAGTAACCGGCTAAATTAGATGCACAACAATCTGCTGACGGCATTGCCTCATAACTTTGGAGAATTAACCGAACTAACGGTTCTAAATTTGGTATGTAGCACATCCCAACTCAAGCAATGGACGCAGCTACCCCTTAAAGCTTTGCTGACTTTGAATATGGTGATAAGACCAATAACAAGCTGGGTAATGGCGCCCTTGGTGTTATTTGCCAAATCTCTAGTTTGGTGGATCTTAAGCTCGCCAAAAACGGTCTTGAAGGAGAGCTTGATCCATCTATCTCTAGGCTTACAAGCCTTGAGATCCTGGAGTTGCAGGAGAATAGACTTGAGTCATTACCTTCTTCGCTTGGGCAGCTGTCGAAACTCCATATTCTCAATATTTCACACAATATCATTCAGTCAATTCCTTTTGTGTCCCTCCTCGGTTGCCAATTGCACGAGTTGACCGCCTCAAACAACAAGTTAAGGGGAACTTTATTTCCCCATGGGGTTACTCGCCTCGACTCCTTGCACCTTCTAGATATCCGAAATAACCATATCTCCAACTTCAGTGAGGATGTTGTTGTTCTCCCTTCTCTTCAACAACTTTTCGCCACCAATAATGGTCTCTTATCATTCCCTTCAGTTGTAGGATGGGAGGAGTTGCTGGTCTTTCTTGTTGATTCCAACCGCCTTGACGCACTGCCAGACGGTTTAGTGGGTCTGCACCGAGTCAGGACTATTGATGTTTCTGCGAATGCCATCAAGACATTGGATGCAAGAGTTGGAATTATGGAGGGGCTGGAGGTGCTAAAATTTGATGGAAATCCGTTGAGAGAGAGGCAGCTTTTGGGGATGAGCATCGCCGATTTGAAGCGAACTCTCAAAGGACGTTTAGCTCCACCCGAGATTGTCATAGCAGAAGTAGATGACGATGATCTGACAGGTGTCGACGGTTCATTCGATAGCAGGCCCCAGGCTATTTCTGAAAACTCGAAAATCTTGGAAGTTGGGAGGGGCGGCGCGCTAGACCTTGCTTCTAAGAACTATGAAGACATCCCTAAGGAGTTGATGGACACTGTCAGAGGAACTCCGAGTAGTGTTTCTCTGCTCCATAACAGGCTCACCGCATTCCCATCGAGCCTAGAGATATTCGCGCTTGGGTTGACAAGTCTCAACATTGGTCAAAACAAGCTTTCTGGAAATTCATATTTCCCAAATAAAATGTCTTTGACATCGCTTACCACCCTCATCATCCAAGCCAATAACATCGCTTCTCTACAACCATTAATAGAGAACTTGGATGCACCAAAACTCGATACATTGGATGTTTCGGCTAACCGTCTCACTTCTATCGAAGGGATCAGGCCAACTTTCCCGCACCTAATTGCCTTTTATGCGAGAGATAATCAGATCACCGAGATTCCAGTGGATTCTATCGATGGGATAAAGATTCTTGACCTCAGTAGCAATGCAATCACTAGCTTGCCGCCTAAGTTGGGAACACTAAGCAGCATTCGGGAGTTGAGGGTTGGTGGCAATCTGTTTAAGGTTCCGCGTTGGCAAGTTTTGGAGAAGGGGACGGAAAGTGTGATGGAATGGCTTCGGGGAAGATTACCTGTTTATGATTAGGAGGTAGAGTATCATAGTTTATCTGCCGCGGGCTGCGGATCATATCGACCAAGAGATGCAGGTTAGGGTGAATCACATAGAAAGTGTTACAATGGGGTTCAGGAGAAGGGTTGTTGGAAATAGATATAATAGCTATCGTTGTAATAATTGTAGTGTTTTAATTCAGTGTATAAGTTACAGTCCTCGTATACTCCTGATCATCTCACAGTTTCTCACTCGGGATCCTCGAAATAAAAATAAAAATAAAATTCAACTTAAACCATACACTGCTACCTTAATGTCATATAGTATTAAATTATAATGCTCCTGACATGGCCAGTGCTTCCAGTCGTCCAGTCTGTCCTAGACGGGATCAGGGCGATGAAGGATGAAAATGTTTTGTCTTGGGACGGACTGGACGGGTGACGGCAGTCGGATGGCACTAGTCGTTTCCTTTTATGGATACCATGTTACCCCATTAAAAATCTTAAATTTTATTTATTTGTTTTACCTTATTTTGCTTTTAACTTATTGTAGCACTAGTGCATGTCTTGTATACTGGGTAGTGCATTGACCAATTTTAGTCGACTGGACGGCTGGGAACACTGCATATCACAGCAAATGATAGAATGATATCAAATGATCACAGATGTTTGTTTTAATATTATTAGATTTCCGAAAACCCGATAGCACATGGTACAACTCGAAACCTGTATCATAATATTGCCATCTTTTATCATAATATTATAAAAAAAAATTAATAGTAAATAATAGTAAATAAATGTAAAGTTCAATACAAAATATAAAAGTTATATTATATGAAAAATAAACAGTAAGTAACTTATATTATATAGTTATAAGAAATCCAATTAATTGTATAACTATTAAGATATGAATACAGCAGATATAATAAGTACATTGTTAATTTAGTTTGCTTTATGTTTTATTGTAGGATTGGCTTTAATACTCAGTTTAGTGTATAATTTATTATAGTATTGGTTTTGATCCTCAGTGTATTAGTGTGTTTTATGTTTGATAGTAGTATTGCTTTTAATACTCTAGTTGTTTTATGTTTTGTTTTAAGTATTATTTAATACTTAAGTTGTTTGATTTATTATCAGCTTTAATACTAATAATATTTTATTGTTGTTTTCATTCATACTAGACATGAATGAATTTATATATGTAAGGATGGTCAGTTTTTATAATAGAAGTGGCAGACTTCAACAGACAGTATTTTCAATATACTTGATTTAATAATTAGTATCATTACTCTTCTTAGTATACCTCTTTAAAGATTCTATTAGTTTGATAGCTCTTACTAGTCTCCCTGGAAGAGATAGTTATTTGTTTAACTATTGTGCTTATAATTTGATTAGTATATAGTAAACTAATCACATATACCCATTAGTTCTCCTTCACTCCACTTTAAGTTAGTAAAGTATAATATAAGAAAGTTTTTCCATTTATGATTGCTAAGTAATTTAATATTATATAATAATGCTAGGAACTTCAATCTTACTTTTAAGCTTAGGCTTTTAGAATAGGTATACAACTTGAATTTCTCTTTATTGTTTTGACTATTTAAAGAAACTATAACTATATTCTTATTCTTCTTTACTTACTATTTATTTCTACTATTTCTTTATATAATTTGGACAAGTATTTGTTTAGTTATACTATATTAAGAGTACTCCTAAATTAGGAATATACTTATTGATTTTTACACTCTACACTTTATTGATTTGATAAAATACTTGTAAAGTATAATTTCATAAAATTTTACTAAGAACTATGATATGTAGGCACTATAAGGCAAATGGAGAGAAGTATTAACTTTGGGAATGAAGAGTCTTTGTACAGTTACCCTACTGTGAGCTCTAAGTACCCTCTACTTTCCATAATGCTAATAAAGTTATTGAGTTATGATATTTGAATTTGTTTGTAAAAAATATATCCTTCATGTTTCTTTTGAAATTCTCCTGATTGCAATATATAATAAAAACCATAGAATCACCTCTTAAAATTATTGTTCCAGCCTTTGAATCTCTATAACAGAGTACTAACTAATAAATATAGATAATTAACTAGCTATTTTCTAATAATAAAATATCATAAAAACAAACAGAAAATTTATTTATATTTGTTTTCATAGGAATTATCATATCATTTAATAGAAATAGTAAATTTTTCATATTTGTAGGAGGTGTACATATATTTCTTTATGCTTGATATAATTGAAAGCAAAATACCACCAAAGTAAGTCAAATTTGTATTGAGACTTGGCATTACATCTTGGCTATATATCAGGATAGATGCTGTCCTTGTATTATACTCAGCTTTGTTTTAAGTAATTGGAAATAGAAGATCAAGTTATGTGGCTGTGGGTGTAAGTAAGCCTTGGCAGCAACCAATCTGGGTTACACTATGGTAGGGTAATGATATTGGTTATCAGCACCCACAAACCTGATTGTACAAAGTATCATACAATGTTCTGTCTAGATATTAAATGAGGTATAAGAGTTACCAGGAAAGAAAGAGGTGAAGCTAACGGCAATTTAGGCAAAGAAATAACTCCACAAAGACGTGCTGCAATAATTACAATACATGTCCTTGGCTTACCATACTATGTTATACAAGCACGAACAGGAGTAGCTACCTCGACTGCAAATACTATCTATCTATGAGCAGTAAAAACTGCTACAGCTTTGGCAGCAGAGACGGAACAGCAAACAGCTTTAGAGGTGAAACCTCAGGGACCACAGGTTAGGGAAGGTCTAGGGTTTGAAGCTCTGGGAGCTTTAGCTGGATATGGGCAGGAGACAGGAGCCTCATAAGAAGAAGGATTATGAGGAAATACTTTAGGACTTCTAGACACAGAGATGAGTGAGCTAAAAGTGTTAGCAAGCAAGAATCTAGGTATATTAGCTCCAGAGCTTCTAAAATAGTTAGATAATAGTTCAGAAGTATAGGAAATTGATAGTTTGGAGGTTGAAACTCCAGGACACCTGTGAAGTTCGGATAAGAAATCAGGAGTCTCAAGAGAGAAGAGTGAGAGTTTAGAAGAAGGGGTTCTGGAGATTTGGGTTTTACGAAGGAGTGAGATAGAAATTCTAGTAGGGAATGGTAAAATGATTATTGGAGGAGGTTATCCTGAAAGATCAGGAAATACAGCCGGAGAGACTGATTTCTGGGCTTTGTCCAGTTGAAACTAGGTTCAAATGAAGAATCATTCAAAACATAACCCGGTTTCTTGTTCCTATATCATATATTTGAAAAGAGTATCAATTTAAAATCTGGTTCCGGTCGACCAGCAGCACTTTTAAAGGAAGAAAATGATATACTTGTAGAGTTTATAAAATGAGATTTTACAACACGTAAAATGCACTTAGTTGATATCCACTGTGAGTCTGGACTCTCACATGTGTCTGATATGACTATTTAAAAGGCCTTAATGGAAAGGAGTATAAAGGTATATCGAGAAGAGTTTAAATTTATTCTCAAGTGTGAAAACAAACTGCGAAGGCTAAAATACTGTGAGGAAATAAAAGACTAGACTCTGAATGAGTAGAGAAACTATGGTTTCATGGATGAAATATTAATTGAGATTGATAGCTTATTAGGCTTGAATCTTGTATGGCAGGATATTATGGAGTGCTGGCATGAAGACTGTATTGCTGTGATAAGAAAGAAAGATATATCAATTATGTGTTAGGGCATAATAGGATTGGGATAGAAGGGTCCATTTGATGTTTGGAAAATTGAGACAGAGAAAGTGCAGGAGGAGGCTGCTACTACTATTACAGCTTTGGAGGCAAACTGGGTGACAGAAGAAAATGAGCTTAATATTGTTTGGAAGGTATCTGATAGAGAGAAACAGCTAAAGCTTACTGAGTAAATTGTGTATAAGTTACAGTATCAGGCTGAGAAGTTGGACAATATATCAAAAAAGTAAATTCCTCAAACATAGTATGGCAAGAAATATAAGAGAGGTGATAGAAAGAGAGTAGAACCCTGGTGCTATGTTAGTACAGTTGCTTGTCCTCTATTATTGCCTGAATGTTTCCTTTAACTACAAAAGAATCCTGTCTTTATCCTAATAGAGGATAACGCACTATTCCATTTATCACATTACACTACTTGAGAATGGCAAAAGGAAGGAATTTTGAAAGTTGATTGGGCTCTCAACTCACCTGATTTTAATCCTATTGAGCATAGAGAGACCATTATAAAGAGCAGAATTCAAAGCCGCTAGGGTGCAGAAAGAATTACAACTCAGATTGAGATAAAATTAGTCTTAATTGAGGAGTAGGCCGAGATTACAACTCAGGACATTGATAAAAAAATAGCCAAACTTCCTACAATTATGGCTTAGTGTATTACCTATAAGCGCGTTCCCACTTGGGCAG